ACAGGGATAATATTTTAAAAATAAGTCCTGGGGTGCCTGGGTGGCTCAGTCGGCTAAGCGTCTGACTCTTGCTTTCGGCTCAGGTCACGACCTACCTCCCGGTTTGTGGGTTCGAGCCCCACATCAGGCTGCCTGCTAACAGTGTGCAGCCTTCTTGGGATTCTCTTTCTCCCTCTCTCTCTTTCTCTCTGCCTCTCCCCTGAACGCTCTCTGTCTCTCTGTCTCTCTCTCAAAATAAATAAATAAACATTTTCTTAAAAACCTTCCCAATTATGCTTTCTTATCAGTAAGTCAGTCTCTCACTCTCCATTTTTCCTAAAAAGTCAGCTTGACTTTTCTTCCTTTCCATCCTACCTCTCTCTCCAAAATAATCTGAAGACAGAAAGTTTGAGCCAAATGAAAGGCTCAATGCCATTGTTCTGACGAGGTTTCCAAGGTACCTTTGAGCTCTCTGGCAGAAAGAAAACAAAATTGCTTACAAGGTCCCCACTTTCAGGAAGGAGAAAGCATATCGCAGTTTCAAGATAGAGAAGATTTACTGACACAACAGCAAAAAGGAATTTGCTGACATGAATCTTGGTTTCAGACGATACAATGTAGGTAATGGAAAATCATATTTCAATAAAGCAGAAAAAGCATTTTATTTTATATGTGTTGCTCAGAAGTTAGTGATCTTTCTATTCCACCAGCGGTCTGCATATGTCAGAAATCCATTCAAGTAGCTCAGTGTCTGCTCTAAGTCGGCCCCACAATAAATAAGCCAGCAGTTATTTCTGTACCCTCTTCTGTCCCAGCATTGGTGTGAATGAAAGAAGAGATATGGAAAATGAGAATGGTGTTTGCCTTCTAGAAACTTCCTCGGAAGGTAACAACAGCACGCAGGAAATCATCTGAAACCTGAAACTGAAGATGCTCAGACACTGGGCTGGGTGGCAGCCAGGCACCTTACCTCTGTTGTGTCCGAGTTCCAGAGGAGAGATCACCGGGAACCACAGTGGTAAATAAGGCAGGGTTAGAATGACCGTCTGGAAACCCAATCTGAACAGTTCTGACCAGCCTGCTCCATAAAGAGGGCGGGAGGCTCACACCCATCTAAGAAAGGCTGGTCCCATGCCAACGAGGCCACGCCACAGGCCTCATTACAGGACAGCCATCCCCCCACAACAGATGCAACCCCACCCAAACAAGACAGTCTGGGGACAAAGGAGACCTAAATCCCTTGGCCACCCCCGGCCCCCGCCCCTCTCAGCATCGCTGAGGCCTCAAAGGCGCCAGGTGGCACGGAGGGCAAGTCTGCCATCCGATCCTGGGAACTGGCACTTTTTAATCTGCTCAGTTAGAAATGTAACGACTTCTTGCTTCCATTTGCCAGGCTGGCAGGGAGAAGGTACAGACAGCCAAGCGTGTTCGGTGTCGCTTAGCAAAAGCCGAGAAAACACCACCGAAAAGCGACCTCCTTCAGAATGATAAGGATTCACGAGAAAACAAAACAAAACAAAACAAAACAAAACAACCAACCTGAATGTGCCCAGCTCTTCTTCCTGGCTGTCCCTGCTTGCTCACGACTGCACGATCGTGACAGCCAGAGACGTGGGCTACGTGTCTGTTTTTCTCATCCCTAAACAGGTGTAATAATCCATCCTACCTGCTTCTGCCAAGATTAAGACCGTGCGTATAATGTGCTTACACCTGGTATCTGACGCTTTAGAGGTTTCATTGTCAGCTGCTATGACCCTGTTGGTTTCCAGCGTTTTTTGTCCCTCCATCTAGCATCTGTCCTCCCTCCACCCCTCAGGGCAACATTGCGACAACGGGCCTCCAGCGATGCAAGGATGAAGGGTTCAGCCCTGCCGTACCGGCACTCAGCATAGCAGGCGTCTCAGCAACAAGTCAAGCAGTGACCTGAAAATACCCAGAAAGTTGACGGGGATATTTCAGGAAACCCCAGGATGTCGTTTCCAGGATTGCAACGCACGGTCACTTCCACTCGGGGCCTCCTCCCCCTTTGCTGCTCCGTGGCATATGCCCATCAACCGTTTTGTTTCAAAGGGTCTGAGGAAGGCTGGCTAACGGAGCGACGCCCTCCTCCCTTGAACGAGTGTGTGCCTACGCTAGGTCCCATCGCAAAGGGGGATGAAGGCTGCAGGCGCAAGGAGGCTTGCTAATCCTCTGATGGCAAAATACAGGGATTCTTCCCGACGATATGGGTGGGCACTGAGTGATCACAGCATTCTTAAAAGTGCAACAGGGAGGCAGAAGGAGGCGTGGCTACAGAAAAAAATGGTCAGAGAGCTGCGTTGTCGCCGGCTTTGAAGATGGAGGAAGGGGGGGCAACAAGCCAAAGGATGTGGGCTCCGGAAGCTGGAAGGCCAGGAAACAGACTCTTCCCTAGAGCCTCCAGAAAGGAACGCAGCCCTGCTAAAACCTTCATATCGCCCAGCGGGGCTGGTGTCAGACTTTCTACCTACAGACGGTGAGACGATAAATGTGCGCCGTTTTAAGGCACCAAGTTCAAGGTCATTTGCTAAAACAACCGGAGGAAATGAATACAGGCTTTTTCTGGTCATCATCTGGTGACACCCATTCTGGTTCCCAAGGGGTATTTCTTACAGAAGTGACACACATCATCCCCAAGATTTTTTTTTAATTTTTAATGTTTGTTTTTTTATTTTTGAGAAAGAGAGAGCACGCACAAGTGGGAGAGGGGTCAGAAAGAGAGGGAGACACAGACTCCGAAGCAGGCTCCAGGCTCCGAGCTGTCAGCACAGAGCCTGACGCGGGGCTTGAACCCATGAGCCGTAAGATCATGATCTGAGCCGAAGTTGGATGCTTAACTGATTGAGACACCCAGGCGCCCCAATATTTTTTTTCTTTTATCCTGGTATATCAGGCTAGTTGAATGCTCGGTCCCTAGGCCCCACAAATATGGGTAAAAGTGTCATCACACACGGGAGCCCCAGGGCCCTAGGAAGTACAGAGTGGCCAGGAAGGGTTATCGGAGCCGACAGTTATCAGAGCATGTTCAGGGGCTGCCAAGAGCACCCAAGTTCTGCCTCATAAACCCTTCAGTGCTTGCCAATCTCATCATCGCTACACACCCTATGCGCCCCAAGGTTTAAGAGAGTATGCTCTTCCATTTTGATTCATCAGAGATACATATAACTTCCAAACAAAGCTTGTGATTAACCCAAAATGGCCAGCGCTCTCTCCCAGTGATTCATAGAATTCCAGGCAAAAACAAAGCCAGGAGACTTTAGAAATCCAACCTCTAGTAAAGGTTTGATTTTTCTGCGTTTTGATTTAAGATTTAAAATACTTTGTGAGGCCCCATGACCAGCTCTACGGCCTTCCTAAAGGCCTCAGCTTGAGAACTGCTGAAAAGATTTCATTCAGGTGATCCATTTACCACCACCCCACCCCCATCTAACCCTGTTCACACAACTGTTATTTCTGAATACCTCTCAGCTCCCTGGGGGGGGGGGGGGGGGGGGGTTTTTTTTTTTTTTCATTATATTGGTAGATTCACTTCAAGCTTAGATTCTGATCTGTCAAATGGATAGCAATGGTGACATCCATTGTGAGCCTTGGGGAACTCCATAATCTAATCCTGAGGCTTTCCCCAGTCTGTCTCTGAGAAAAAAAAAGGGGGGGGGGCGCTGAAAACAAATCTTCTGCAGTCTCTTTTTACGGGCCTTATATTCCCATTCCAAACCTTTCCATTTATGGGCGTGTAACTATTAGAAACAGTATTGAAAACAGTTTAGATAAAACAGGCAATACCTATCTACTGAAGGTAAAGGCGTGCCTACCCTCTGACCCAGAAATTCCGCTTCTAGCTTTATACTCAAAGAAACGTCTGCCCATGCGCGCTAAGAGACACGTACAAGAATGTTCATAGCAGCATTATTCATAATGGCCCAAACTGGAAACATTGATGGAGAAACGCTACGTAAAGAGTGGGGTGTTCGTACAATGCTGTACTGGCCAGCATTGTGCTACCTGCCACGACGTGGATGCATGTCTATAGCGCTGAATAAAAGAAAGCAGATACGAAGGAATGTTCTACGATTCCATTTACGCGATGTTCAAAAAGCAGATGAAATCATGGTGTTTCAGGATTCAAGCTCAAGGAGACAGAATTCTAAAGAAAAAGGAGGAAGTGGTTACCATAGGAGGTTAATAGTATTACTCCTTTAATAGTTGTTACACCTTTCTAGATGTGAGGTATGTCCTTTTTCCACAGTCGGCATTTGAGGAACTTAACCAAGTCCAGACAGGCTCGTCTTGGGTCCAGTTAGAATAGCTTCTCCCAGAACTGGGCCAACTGCTCTGTTGCTCTCCCCAAACTGACGCTTCAGTCCAACGGTACCACTAAAATTGAATTCACATCCCTTTCTCTGTCTTCCCACTGAGATGCATGGCTCATGCTTAGATCACCCAGTAAGATTCCTTAAAGGAGCAGAGCTATAAGTTCTTACATCAGTAAGTCTCTAAATGCTTAGAGCAAGAATTCCTTTTTTTTTTTTTTTAGTGTTTATTATTTTTGAGAAAGAGAGAGAGAGAGAGTGCAAGTGGGAGAAGGGCAGAGAGAGAGAGACAGAATCTGAAGCAGGCTCCAGGCTCTGAGCTGTCAGCACAGAGCCCAACGCGGGGCTCAAACTCACAAACCGTGAGATCATGACCTGAGCCGAAGTCGTAATGTTCAACTGACTGAGCCACCCAGGCGCCCCTTAGGGCAAGAATTCTGACAAAGTTTTTAGAGTCTTCATTGTTAAGTTAGAATATTGATGTCTGTTTTGGAGGAATATATGTGAGCATAAATAAGATAATGCATGAAAGGTATTAAGCATAGTGTCTGCCCATAGCAGACTGTCTACAGACAAGAGTGCTCTTGCTTCCTTTTTTCTCTGAGACTCATCTTTTCCCCCCAGTGATGACAGGATCGAGGAAGAAAGAGAAAGAGAAGGGTCGTTTTCAGAAAACAAAGAGCACAAAACCAATAACTTCCAAGCATATTTTGTTGAGGTGGCGACATTCGTAAGAGGTCATTAGAGAGGTCCTTACCCAAACCTTGCATTCACCTGGACTGCTACCATATTTGGAATCATGCCGTTTGAGTCCTTCTTATAAGCTGGGGAACTGTCACCAGAGTGAATCATTTGCTTCATCATAGTTTTGTATGATGTGGTTTCTCCAAATGTAGTTATTAGGCCATTTTAGAATCAGCTGGTGTATTCAGGTGAGTAAAGCTAGACGCCGTAAGAAGCAGTCCCTGAATCTCAGTAGCTTTACCAGCAGAACACTGCAGTCACTGCTTATTTCAAGTTCATGAATAGGTTGTAAAGGGTGGTCTTCCCATGCAGGGGCAAAGATTCTTTCTACGTAATGTCTCTGCTATCATCCAGGGCCTCAGAGTCCTCTGCTAGATTCTTTGTGTCCAGCTGGCAGCTAACAAGAGACGAAAGGCCAATGTCATGAGAATGCAAGGGTAGTTTTAGGGACCAATGGTAGCAGTCATCTGTATCACCTTGCTTACATTCTATTCGTCAGGATTCAATCGCACAGTCCCACATAGCTGCAGGAAAGGCTGCGAGCTTTGTTTAGCTCTCTTCAGGAAGAAAAACAATTTTGGTGATCTCATTGCATACCTGGGGTGCAAAGATATGAAGTTCAGTATACATATTTGTAAATATGTTTTTTCAGTGACACTGATACTGAGTCAGAATATCTACAGCCTAGGAACGTGAAGTTGAAACAGATGATTTTCAGGGACACTAAACTGGCCCAGAGGTGTTTTTGATGGTTTCCAGCACAAGGGACAGCGGCAGCCCTGTCATTGATCTTACCTAAGATACCAACCTGGGTACCCTGAGTATTTTTGCAAATCTTTTAGAACGTGCGAGAACTGTAGTATAAGGACTCCCAGGATGGCTTGCCCTCCACACTCAGATTCCAACAGTGCACTGGGAGCGGGTAAGCATGGCGTTTGCCAGGTCCTTTTCTCAGCCGTTTTGTTCTTCCTCAGACAAAGGGGATATTGTAGGGCTATACTGAGTGACAGAAATAGAAGCCAGCCCACATAACTCAAATCCATTTACTTTAGGGACATTGTTGAGGTCAGTGCTCAAGACATTATTTTATGGAGACACATAGAAGAAATTTCTCTCAGGTGTCCATACTATAAATAGTTGTTTTTCTATGAGAAAGCAGTTGACTTGTATTTTACCCACTGTGAATCATGACATTTATCATGTTTCCTCTTTGTACTAACTTTTGGGAAGTTTGGAGCCAAAATTTTAGACCATCTGTTGCAAGTGTGCAGAACTTAGTTCCACTGTATCTTATTTTCTTACTTTTAACTCAAATATTTGTTTCTTTTCTTAACTTGTTAAAGTGTACATCTTCACACATGCTACTTGGTTCCTATTTTTAATGTGAAGGTCATAGAACTGGATTTTTAATTATTAAATATGACATTGTGACAGAAAAGTGAACAGAAATATTGGCCCATGGTGTTTCAATCATGTTTTAACCCCTGAGAAATGTTTCCCACAAATGACATGCAGTGACCCTTCATCACCCATTTAACCCAGTACCAAAAGACTTTCCTTAGAGACCTCAGAATAGAATATTAGTTAAAACCAGCTTTACTTTTCCAAGGTCACTCTGTCCCAGTCCTCATTTCTTTTTCTGAGATGTAATCCTCTTTTTCTGAGCCCAGAGATAGTACAGAACCTAAAAACCTTCAGGGAGTAGAATGTTGGGTGAACAGCTCTGGGCTTTGATAAGTTTCGCTCTCTGTCCAAACGTCCTCACAACAATGTTTAAAATCAAATTGTGGAAGGAAAGCCGGGACAAAAAAGTTCATGTACTTTGAAGACATTCTAAGACCATTATTTAGTAAAAATTTTCCCACAATGAATTTAGCTATGGAAGGGATTAAGAGAAAGGTACCCAAACATCCACTCAATTAACTAAAATTTAGTGGGCCTCTCTTTATGTTCTAGTGCTAGTGGCTTTGACGTTATTCCCACTTTACACTCGTGCACACACGCACACACACACACACACACGAAACAAGCACACCCTCTGGGAGGGAGGGAAGTATTAAGAGGGTGTAGTCGAATTTCTTTTGGCAGCTTCACTGGCCATTGATTTGGGAGACGTTGCCTCCGAAGGCGTGGCCTTTACCTTCAGCACCAAGGCCAGCGCACCTGGCTTTTTCCCGGGTTCCCCGTATCCTCACTAGCGAACTCGCACTCCCAGAACTGTGATAAAGAAATGTTCTTTGTCAGCTAAACTCGCCTTCCTTATTCTTAAAAGAACATCATAAATTGTTCTTCATGGAGCGGCCACCGGTACCAGCAGGAAAAGTTTCTGACAAGAGATGAAAATTTATTCGCGACCTGCCTCCTTCTGAATCTAAGCGCGCGCACACGCACACGCGCGCGCGCACGCTGCCAAATGGGCTCTTTTGGTCTGGTTCTGCTCTCATCACTCCCTCTTAGCATCGGGAAGCAGTTAGGAAGAGCATTCTTTGCCTCCTGTCCCAACAGAAAGTGACACACATGCACAGACGGAGACGGAAGGGGGGTGGGGGGGAACGCAAGTGCTCAGGCCTCTGGTCTTCTGAGATTTGTCCTTCTAAGAGCTTTTTACCTCTCGGGTTTGTGTATAACCCTTGACTTCAAGGCTAACAAACGAGAACAATCTACCAAAAAGATCGCCGTTCCCAACTAAAGTAATACAAACGCGAGGAAGACAAATCGGACCCTGGCAACATTATTCCCATTTCAAGAATGCGGAAACTGAGCCGGAGACGTTAAGCTACTTGCCCAAGAAAACACAGTGACCCAGTGACAAAGGCGAACCAAAAAGCCAGATTTCGTCTTCCTTCCTGTTGGTCTTTCATCAGCAATATATAGTTGCCAACTGTCTTCAGGAGCCCCAATTCTGTACCCCTCCCTCCGGCCCAATTATCTGAAAACCAAAAGAGTAGAAAATCGAAAATGAGATGGAGGTCGGCGGGGATGGAAGGCAGCGGATTGCTGCCGCTTCCTTGCTTCCTTTTTTAGAAACTAAAATCGACTCTGCTTTTCCTGGTTGACAGTCCCTTGCCTGCGGCGCGACTCCTGGCCTCGGCGGGGGTTCGCGCAATCTGGGCGCCTCCAGCTGCCCCTTCTCCTCCACAAGTCGCCAGCCAAAGAGCGTAGGGCCAAAGCGGGACGGAGCGAGGGTGCCCGGGAACCCGTGCCCGTGCCGTTGCCGGAGCCGCCCTGGGCGCACCGCGCTGGGCGCCGCTTGCTCTCGCTCGCCCCACGCGCTGCTTGTCCTGAAGCGCAGCGGCTGGCAGGGAGGCCGGTGGGCAGCCAGGGGCCCGCAGGGCTGAAGCCCGAGGCCCCGAGCCTGGGCAGCGTGGAGCGTGGAGCAACGGTTTCCCCAGCCAGCTCCCTCCATGGTTAGCACTCAGTGCCAGGGAGCAGCACGGGTCTTTCCTCGCCCCTCCCCAAGCGCACCCGGGCCAGCTTCCATCTGATTAGAATGTTTCTTCCATCTGATTAGAATGACAGTAGCTTTCAAGTCATTCATTATGAGAATTTTAGTCTTAAAAGAAAAAAGAAGGTCCCACTGTAATTGTGAGTTGTAATAAATGCAAACTTCTGGTGCCTTCCTCTGCAGTATGGAAGACAGTAAAAAATGTGTCTCGTCCAAGCGCACCCCCTCCCCAAGCCCATTGTGAAGTCAATCGCTAACAAAGGGGACGTGTGAATATTCAACACCGAGTCTTTCAGTTGTTATTTTCCGGAATCCCTGAGTCGGCTTTTTTTTTTTTTTTTAAATCGGCGAATACCTGTTTAAGTTTTAAAAGCACATGGAAATAGCCCGCGAGCGACCATATAATTTGATTTGCCAGGCAATCTGCAGAGCGATCGCACATCATTTATAATGTTCATTGAGCATTTTGCCTAATTGTGTCTGTCTCTGAAAGGGCAGCGCACCCCCTCCCGACCGCGAGCAGCACAAGTGGCGACATTCCCATGGAGCGGCCGCGCGGCAGCTTGCCGTATTCAGCGCTGGCGGCCGGGCCGCGCGCTTCCCCGCCCTGGCGACCGGGAGCCCCTGACACTAATAGCTCGCGGCTCAGGTACGAGCGGGCGCCGCGCTTGACTCCATTCAATTCACAACCGGCCGTGCTTGCAGGTGTCGCCTTTTGAAACCTCCATTCAGGCGGCCGCTGTTCACTTCTCGCTGCGCCGCGGGTTTTGTACAGGCGCAAGAATGGGGCTGATTATTCCCGTGCCCACATGCCGCCCCCGCACGCCCCCACCCCGTCGGGCGCGAGGCTTTCCTTGGCCAAAAGAGGCGTTTAATTAGTTCTGGGGCCGCAGAGAGCCAGCGTGACCGACAAAGCCCGGCTCCCCAGGTAACCCCGGTTCCCTGCGGCCCCGGGAGGGGGCGCGCGGCGCCAGAGCACCGGCCTCAGGCTGCGCGCTCCCTCCCGCGCCGCGGCGGCTCCCCTGCCCCCCCCCGCGGGCTCTCCCGCAGACCGAGGCTCGCTCGCTGGGTTTGGGTGACCTCGGCCAGCGGCTCCCGCTAGCCCCAGGCGCGGCCAGCCCGGGGCGCTGCTCCCCCTTCCCGCCTTTCTGCCCCCGGAGCCAGGACAGCCGGGTAGATGGGAGCTTAACTGGCAAAAGACGGTGGCTGTAGCTGTCTTGCGCGTGGGTGTTCTCCCCATTTCGTGTCATTCTCTCTTTCCCCCTCTCTCCCCACGGGGGCAATCTTTCCGGAAAACACTGTCCCCCTTTATCCTTAAGCCCCCGCGGCTCAGCGCTGCGTGCGCTAAGCTCAAGGCGCAAAGCTGGGCGCGCGAGATGGTGAATGGCTGCCTCGGCGCCGCGGCCAGTGACGCTCCTTTCGCAGCAGCTGCTCGGGCACCTGCGATGGCCCAAAATACACGCAGCGGCTAACGGCGCCGCATTCCCTGGCCCGCCTGCGCCACAGGTACAATCACCCTCCCACCCCACCCGCCCTTGGAGGGGTGCGCGCGCCCAGCCGGGGCAGCCCCTGAGCCGGGATCGCGCCCCCGAGAGCCTGGCCTTTTACTGTGGGCCGCGCACGCCCCCGGGAGAGAGGGGCCGGAGGCTAGGCGCAGTGTCGCCACACACCTGCGTTGTACCTTTCAGGGCGGAGTGGGCGTCGGCCGCCAGGCGGGGGCTGGGGCCCCTCCCGCCTTATCATTTGATTTCCGCGAGCGTCTGAGGACGCCGGCACCCATTCGTTCCACTCGCTGCGCTCTGTGAACGAGCCTGGGGCGGGCGGAGGGGGGCCGGGCTGGGGGAGGGCCGGGTGGTCTCACTCCCCCCTCCCGCCCCGCCGGCCGGGCTGGAGCACAAGTGTTGGGATTCCCACGGACCGGCGTGCTCTGCGGCTGGAGGCCCGGGCACCCGGGGCCCGGGAGACGTGGCGGACACAGAGGGGTTTGTAGACAGGGTGACCTCCGCGCTCCCTCTCTGAAAGGGCCTGAAAGGAGCCGTTTATGGTGCATTACCAGTCAAGGGCTCAGGTACCAGCGCCTTGTGTCGGGAAGCCCCGGCGGCCGCCCGTGCTGCAGGTGTCAACCATACAAACGCCCCGGGAAGGGGGGCTCTGAGAAGGGGGGCAGGGGAGGGGCGCTTGGCTGCGCCCGCGCCGGCCGTTCGCGCGGTTTAGTCTTTTTCTCTTCTTCCGCGAGAGCCGCCAGCCTGGGGTGCAGGCCCAGGTCTTGAGCGGGTGGAAGAGAAAGCAGCGGGGGCGGGGGACTACGGCAGGTTATTTATGGGACTCCCCGACCCAGTTTCAAGGCTGGCGGCAGAGGCAGGTCACAGGAGACGAGAACTGCTGAGTGGAGGCCAGGGCTGTGCCAGGGAAGGGGCATTTGCCGGTGTTGGGGTGCTCGAACCTCCAGGGGCCTGCTCGATTTAGCCTGAATTTCCCAAGTAGGCCCATCTGCGCCTTGTCTATCTTCCTGTGCAAAGATGGGCCTGAGTTTGGGTGCACCTTTTACAAAGGTGAAAGTACTGGCCTCTCTTCTCAGGCTCCCTCCCAGTGCCAGAGTCACCCCCTGCCCAGAAGAAACCGAGGAAGGTGCTATTCCCTAGGTGGGTGACCCCCGTGGACCCCTCTGTTCTCCCAAAGACCCCGGAAGCCAGGAACTCAAACCCCTCAGGTTGGCCTCTGTAAAGCAAAACTTCCTAATGCTATTTTCCTTAGGGAGGAGAATGTTAATGGAGTTGACTTCCTAGGTCGGCCCTCAAAAGCCTTCACGGAGTAAAAAAAAAAACTGTAGAAAAATAGCACGGGGCACTGTACTGTAACAAGTGGGGTTTAATGATTTTCAGGGCCAACCTGAAAAAGAGAATGAGGCAGACGCCAATTTTAGGAGGGTCTGAATGAATCCTGTGGGTACTCCCAAAGGTTTTAGAGGTGGTCTGCCTTATTTCCTTATCGGATATTAGCTTCTCGCTAATATTCTAATGTTTTCCTTTTGGCAGGTGCGTCACCATAATTTCGTTTATAGGCGTCATCTATTATTAGAATTGGCCTTTGACTAAGACTAAGAGATTTTCTTAAAGGAACAGAGCAATTGGAAAAGGGAACTGGTGAAAGGATAAGATGGGTGTGTGTCTGAAAAGAATAGTTTAAGAGAAGAAAGGGGGAGAATAGATTTCTTACAAAGTAAGAGAAAGTCCTTCCCATCTAAAAGCAAGGAGCAAATCACTTCCGCTCTCACAACTGAATTTCTTGAATAAGTTGCCCAAATCAGGTGTCTCTGTTTCCTCACCTTTATTCAGTCCTCAGCACACTGTATTCTGGCCTGCACTCTCACACTGAAACTCTCCTTAGCCCTTTTCACCAGTAACTTCCATGCCCCCACACCTAAGGATAACTTCCAGAACTTATCACGCCTAAAACTGCAGGAAACAGGCCCGCCATTCATCCTGATACCAAGAGCAGAATCCTCTGAATCATTTTTGTTTCTCTCTCTTTTCCAAGCCCCCCATTCAGTAAGTTACCACGTCCTAAAATCCCCTTTCTAGAATGTGTCTCCAATCTGCCGTCCCCAGTTCAGGCTTTCAGAATCTCTCAGCCATTCCTTGCAGTCTTCTGATTGGCCTCCCTGCCTGCCTGTAATCCTGCTTTGCTCCAGTCCGTTCTCGTTCTCCAACCTGGCAGCCTAAGGGTCCTTTCTAAACGGTAAAGTTGATCATGTTACCCCCTGCTTAAAACCCTTCCCTGGCTTCCCCATTCCCTGACTGCTTATGTAGGAATTGTAAACTTGTGCTACTCCAGGGCTCCGGTGCTAGTCAATCACACACATTGTAAAGAATAAGACAAACACATTTTAACATAATGAGGTAAAAATATAGATTATAGGGGCGCCTGGGTGGCTCAGTCAGTTGAGCATCTGACTCTTGATTTCCGCTTTGGTCATGATCCCAGGGTTGTGGGATAGAGCCCCGAATTGGGCTCTGTGCTGAGTGTGGAGCCTGCTTAAGATTCTCACTCTCTCACGGGGTGCCTGGGTGGCTCAGTTGGTTAAGCATCTGCCTTTGTCTCAGATCATGATTTTGCAGTTCCTGAGTTTGAGGCCTGTGTCCGGCTCTGTGCAGATGGCTCAGAGCCTGGAGCCTGCTTTGGATTCTCTCTCTCTCTCTCTCTCTCTCTGCCCCTCCCCTGCTTGAATGCTCTGTCTCAAAAATAAACATTTAAAAAAATGTTTTAAAAAGATTCTCGCTCTCTCTCCCTCTGCTTCTCCCCAGCTCACACCCTGTCTTTCTCTCTAAAAATATAGATATAGATTATAATTCAATATTTTCTTCTCATACTCCAGTGGATCTTCTTTCCACTCTGGAGATGATTGGTCTATGTTATGCCAAATCCCTTAATACAGTTTACAAGGTCTTTCTTAATCTAGGCCCTGCCTACATTTCCATTCTCATCACCTCTCTTTACTTCATCCTTAATAAAGGTCTTTTATTTCTTCAAAGCCATGACAACCATTCCCTGTTTGTCTGTTTCACATTTATTTCAACCTCTATTTGCTATCCCCAGTAGGCGGTAAGCTCCATGAAAAAAAGATCTGCTGTATTTATCATTCTGTCACCTGTGCTTATCACCATTCCTGGCACAGAATGGGTTCTTGATAAATATTTGCCACACAGGTGAACATGGTGCTTCTCAGAAGCAGCCATTTTTTTTCCACAAAAAGACTAGAAAGCAGAGAAAACTGCCCCATAGACATTAAGAACCAAGCAGAGGTTACAGAGGGAGCAAAATGAGGCACAGGAAAGATGGAGAGAGTGTCCAGACATCTTTCCGGATCATGAGGCATTGACTAGGATACAAATTAGGCTGCTCTATAAACAGGGTAAAATTGGGGCGCCTGGGTGGCTTGGTCGGTTGGGCGTCCGACTTCGGCTCAGGTCATGATCTCACGGTCCGTGAGTTCAAGCCCCGTGTCGGGCTCTGGGCTGACGGCTCAGAGCCTGGAGCCTGCTTCAGATTCTGTGTCTCCCTCTCTCTCTGCCCCCTCCCCTGTTCATGCTCTGTCTCTCTCTGTCTCAAAAATAAATAAAATTTATTAAAAAAATAAAAAAATAAAAAAAATAAATAAAACAGGGTAAAATAGAGTGGTTCAAATGGGACGGAATTCTGTTTCTCACAAAAACAAAACAAAACTGGACAGGCACTCCAGGCTTGGTGTGGGGTCTTAATGACGTGGGCGATTCAGACTCCTTCTGTCTAGTTGCACACACATCCTCAACCTCTAGCTTTCATCTCGTGGTTCAAAGTGGCTGCTCCAGCGGCTGCCATTGCATCCGTATTCCAACCAGTAGAAAGAGGGCAAGTGGCAACACAGGGCGCGTTCTTCCCCAGAGATCGAGCACCCGAAGGGAGTATCATTTCTGCTCACGACCTGTCAGTTAGAAGTTAGTTTCAAAGCCACACTGAGCTTACAAGAGCAACTGGAAAATGCAGTTTTCATGCTGGGTGCCCGTGTGTCCAGCTAACATTGTGGGGTTCTGTGACCAAAGGGAGAAGGAGAGACCGGACATCAGAGTTTCCAGTATCCAAGACACCCCGTCCTGTTGCCTTCCCGAGGCCTCGCTAAATTCCTGCTCTTGGATTCCCGGAATCGCCCGGTATCCCATGCCATAGCCGTCTCTGAATGTTTAAGGTAGTTCAAGTTGTTTTCTGTGAGCTGGAATCAGATTTTAAACTAGTATGCTAACGTACTGAGTTATGTCTACAGTGGCCCAAGGTAAAGGGCTGCAAGACAGGTGTATCAGGTTAAGCCAGGTTATGCTGCAGCAGCCGCCCCAAATCTCAGTGGCTGAACCCAACTAGAAGTTTCCAGTCCAGGTTCCCTGTTCCATGAGGGTTTTCAGGGGGACCCTGTGCATCACAGTCACTCAAGGTCCCAGGCTCACAGACGTTTTGCTTCTGGGAGGAAAAGCAAATGGCACGCCGGCTCTTAGCGCTTCTTCCCAGAAACGCCATGTTCGTTCTACTCATCTCGTATTTACCCCAGACCCACAGCTCACCCCGAAGACAGTAGGGAAGCCACAAGCTTATCTGTCACCTGCCTGGAAGAAGACACAGAGATCCACAGCTTGTCCTGCCAGCTCACCACACAGGTGGCGACCTAAGAGTGGACGCTTTTCGGGTTAACCCTTATTGTAAAGCACCTGGAATGCCTAACATGATCCTTCTGTGCCTTCCCCTCTTCTCTGCTCAGATCTGTCCAGCCGAAGAGGAAAAGCGCTAAGTACTGCGGGCCTCTAAGGCCAGTGTCAACATAAAGCTCTCACCTCACTTTAAATCAGGGTGGCGAGAAGTCAAATGGGTGAGGCATCGGCAGCTTTGTCCTTAGTTTCACCCAAGACACCTCCTGCACATTTTCCTACTCCCACACATTCCACATTAGGAATCTCTACCCATTTTCCTACTCTCTCTTGGATCTTTACAATGGGCTTGTGCTCGGGTAGGTTTCAAGCATCTGGAAAAAAAAGACACGAGGACCTGTGTGAGAAAGGAAGGTGTTCTGCCCTGAGGAAAATACAGAGAAAGAGCCTTCCAAGGCTGGCAAAGACTAAATAAAGGTGAGAGATTCCAGGGGCTTCAGGAAATCTCCGACTGCTCCCAAAATGTTGCAAGAAGGCCACGTTTTAAAAATTCGTCCCCGTGATTTATGGCATTACCTCTCAAGGGCACTAAAACATGCCAGAGAGATG